AACTGTAACAAGCCCATCCATCATTACCACTACCGTATTACTGCAGCAAGCCCAACAAGCCCATCACCGTATAATTTTATCCATCCATTCCCACTACGGCCAAAAATCCCCATTACTGACATACTCCATCTCTTAGATTCTTAGTCCCACTACCGTCAATAATTCCATCCGTCACAGATTCATAGTCCCACATTTGCCAAAAGTCCATCAAGTTCATCTAAGTCAGCCTTAACCAGTGATCCATAACAGTCGATCCATACATAGCGGATATACCTGGGTGACCCAGTCGCATATGCAGTAGTTCCAAATCGATACCCCAATCACGTGATCGAGACCTATACACCCCACCCCTTCGTATGGTTACAAGTCCAATCTTTGTCGTAGCGCAGTAGTTAGTAGGTGATCCAAGACTTGAGATAAAAGATGCAGCAGATTCATATACTAACCTTAGTGATATAGATCGAGGCCTAGATACAGAATGAAAGCCGTTAGTGAGGTCCATATCGGTAATAGAAAGACCTGCCACAAAAAGCATTCAGAGCAAAAGTCGACCCTTCCCTCGCCATAATAGCACCACCTAACTTTGCAGCATTGGTCTCGTAGTAGCACATATCTTTATTTAGTGACCCTTATAGGGATAATGAAACCAATGATAGAGTTGACCTAGCCTAGCGACATCCATCCCTTGTCTCTGACTAGAAGACAGAGACTACTTCATACACAACTTCAACATCTCCTCGAGTAGGCTGGGTAGGCTGATAAGAATCACGATGTTCAAAATGGACCTATTGCCAAGAAGATTCAAAAAATGTCATGAAGATTCAAAAAAATATGTCAACAACAGAATTCAAACCTACGCGCGAAGAGCTCAATTGATTTCAAGTCTATCGCATTAACAACTCAAGCACATCAACATTTGTTAAAAAAAACTATGTTTAATTTCATAAATTATGTAAAAGTCAAATGGTCAATTTGACTTCTTCTTTGTGGAGATTAAAGAGGATCGGGAATAAATCTCGTCCACAAACATACCGGGATTGAACCCCGGCCACAAACGTCTTTTGTCGGGAGACTATAAATACCCACAATATGTTATGTAAAAAAACAGATTCGTGGATGAATGTAATTCAGTTCTCAAATTGAGATGTTTCCCTTAGAAATCCGAGCATCATATTTTCCATTTCTAAGTTTCAAGCAATTCTATGGTAGAATTGTACTTGAGCCATTTAATCAAGCCTTGATCAAGTTAGATTGTGGAGTGACTCAATTTAGAACAAGGTTCTAAATCTTGCTTCTAGATCTTCGATCGTAAGAGGTAATCTAATTCTAGCCTTATCTCTTGGTTGATCCAAATTTCGTATAAGGAGGTGTTAATTACTTTGATTCAAGGGTTCTTGCTAAAACAAAAGCTTGGATTGTTCGAATGAGGATTAGGGTTGCCTTATCAGTTTGGTATCAGAGCGTAGGTTTCATCTTTGTGGCCGACTCTAGAATTGATTTTATCTTTAATTTTCACTATTGTTTATCGTCTCTTTAAGTCTGTCATTTATTTTCTTACCGTCATTTCCAACGTTCTACATTATCTTTCTACTTTGTTCATCCTGTTAAAGATCATATTTAGATTTTGAAAGAAAAAAAAAATTCTTATCACATTGTTCTTAATATATCTTTATCATTAGACCATTTGCACGTTTATTTGAAGATCAAATAAATTTCTATTCTCATTTTTCCCTAAAGCATATAAATCTGGAATTGTTGTGTTCGATCTTCATGACCATTCTCTTTGAAATTCATTTTTTTCAGTGTGCAATTATATTCAAAAATATCTTTGTCCCTTATTTATTTGTTCATTTCTTGTTTTATTTTGTTGTTACTACATAATTACCTTGTCTTGAATGTCTTGAATAACTCGCTACTATCATAATTGCTTTATCCATATTATCTACCTTGATAAGAAATTAGTCACTTTCCTAAATAGCCTACCTTTGTGTGTTAAACACGAGTGTTCCTTGAGTGTAAAATCAGTGAGTTGAGTGTGTGAGGTCCTAAGCATATAAAACTACTGTTTGTACAATCATGAACCAAGACGAGAAAAATGGAGGGGAGATCAATGATCTAGTTGAAGAAGTCCAGAAGAAGGAGAAGAAACTAGAAGATGGTATTCATTTGGCACTTATTACAAGAATACTTCTTAAAACTCAAGTTATGGAGAATGATGTTGATGATCAAAGAAACAACCTATTCACACGCGGTGTTTAGTTAAGGGGATTGCTTGTAGTCTTATCATTGATAGTGGAAGAAGCACCAATGTAGTAAGTACTATGTTGATCAAAAGGTTGCAAATTCCAACTCAAGATCATCCTAAACCTTACAAGCTCCAACGGCTCAATGATAGTGGAACAATGAAGGTAATTTCCCAAGCTTTAATATCTTTTACTTTGGGAAAATATAAAGATGAAGTTCTTTGTGATGTGTTGCCAATGCATGCTGGAGACATATTACTTGGCCGACCATGGCAATTTGACAGGAGGGTTATGTATGATGCCTATTTGAATAGGTATTCTTTTGTAAAAGATGGTAGAAAAACCATTCTTGTACCTTTGAGTTCTGCAAATGTATTTGCTGATCAATTAATGTTGGAGGAAAGAAAGAAAGAGTTTGAGGAAAAAGAGTTAAAAGAAAAACAAGAGTTGGTGAAAAAGTAGAGAAAAATCAAAGATATGCTTAAAATAATAGAGTCATCAACAAAATCACGGTAAAGTGTCGACATCCTATTCCTAGGTTAGATGATATGCTTGATTTATTGCATGATTCGTGTCTATTTATAAAAATTATTTTGAAATTTGGATATCATCAAATTAGAATGTACGTAGGAGATGAATGGAAAACAACTTTCAATATTAAGTTTAGATTGTATGAATGGCTTGTTATGTCTTTTAGGTTAACTAATGCTCCTAGTACACCTATGCGCTTAATGTATAATGTTTTGAGAAAATATATGAGAAAACATGTTGTTTATATTGATTATATTATAATTTATTTAAAGATTTTGCTTAAGTATGTGGAGCATGTTAAATTGGTTTTGATTATACATAGAAAAGAGAAAATTTAATTTTAGTAAGGGTAGTTTTTGCATTGAAAAAGTTCACTCTATTTGGCTAGTAAAAGTAGAGTAGCTTTGGATAGAAACAAAGTTAAATTCATTATGGATTTGCCAACACCAAAAAGTATACGTAAATTTCGAAGTTCTCATGAGTTAGCTAACCTAGATTTATAAATGATTTTAGAACCATAACTCAACTGTTGAATGATTTAGTGAAAAAGAATGTTATTTTTAAATGGGGAGAAATGCAAGAGAATGCATCCAATTTTCTTAGGAAGAGAGTAAGCAAACCATTATTTGTTTTGGCTAGCTTTGATAAAACTATTGAAATTGAATGTGAAATATGTGGTTTGGGCACAAGTGTTGTTTTAATTCAAGATGGAAAGCACTTATGATATGAACCACGACCAAGGAATTTCCATACCTCAAGGTCCAATTACAAGGACGAGAGCTAAGAAGCTACAACAAACCTTATACAGTTATATTCAAGCTATGGTGAGTTCATCAAAGGAAATTCTAGAAGACGCTAGAGACCTCCCTTATATGTTGTGCAAAGTTGAGCTTCAAGAAAGAGATGAATTAAATGCACTTTAAGTTGCATTTAATGAACTCCGGTGAATTTATGAAACTAGTCCAAGGATGAGTCAATAAGCACATTTTATTAATTGCATTATTTAATTATAGTTTAAATATTTGTTTGTCATATTTAAGCTAGTTTTAAATATAGGAGTTAAGGTTATATTGTAACCCACATAGGTTACTATATTCCACCATTAACTAGCCATTTTAATATGGAGGTTATGGGTATTTTTCATTTACTAGCCCATTTAATTTGGGAGTTATATATCACATAGGTTAAGGTTGTAAGGGCACAAATTTTGGAATTAAGAATAGAATTTCTATTTTAGCTTTGTTGAGAGCTAAACTTTCTTTGCAAATTCTTGTGTTTAGAACTTGCATGTAGAGTCAATCAAGTGGTATTGATCAAACCTCTTGTGAAGTGATTCGAATCACGAGTTTAGAAACGAGTTTTCTTTACTCTTGATCTTGATCATCAGGTAATCCGTTCCATACTTTCCCTTGGGTTGATTTTCCATATCAACTTAATATATTTTAGTAAAAAACTAAATAGCCAACATTGAAATATACTACCTATTATAAAGAATTATTTGCTTTAGTTCATATATTGCATGTGTGACAACACTACTTATGGCCTAGAGAATTTGTGATCCACTTTGATCATGAAAACTTGAAGTATGTGAATGATCAAAGCAAACTGAACCGTAGACATGCAAAGTGGGTGGAATTTATTGAAACATTTTCGTATGTCATCAAGTATAAGCAAGGTAAGAATAATACAGTAGCTCATGTGTTATCTAAAAGCATTTAGATTTGATCAAAATATTTCAAAAGGAGATGACAGAAATAAGGTGATGATTTTTTCTAATTTGAGGACGAATCCTTCTGAAGAGGGGGAAGATGATAAGAATTATGGTGTTCCAAATGGACCTATTGCCAAGAAGATTCAACAACAGAATTCGAACCTACGCGCGAAGAGCTCAATTGATTTCAAGTCTGTCGCATTAACCACTCAAGCACAAATGTTGGAAAAAACTATGTTTAATTTCATAAATTATGTAAAAGTCAAATGGTCAATTTGACTTATTCTTTGTGGAGATTAAAGGGGATCGGGAATAAATCTCGTCCATAAACATATCGGGATTGAATCCCGGCCACAAACGTCTTTTGTCGGGAGACTATAAATACCCACAATATGTTATGTAAAAAAATAGATTTGTGGATGAATGTAATTCAGATCTCAAATTGAGATGTTTCTCTTAGAAATCCGAGCATCATATTTTTCATTTCTAAGTTTCAAGCAATTCTTGTAGTAGAATTGCACCTGAGCCATTCAATCAAGCCTTGATCAAGTTAGATTGTGGAGTGACTCAATTTAGAACAAGGTTCTAAATCTTACTTCTAGATCTTAGATCGTAAAAGGTAATCTAATTCTAGCCTTATCTCTTGGTTGATCCAAATTTCGTATAAGGAGGTGTTAATTACTTTGATTCAAGGGCTCTTGCTAAAACAAAAGCTTGGATCGTTGGGCTGAGGATTAGGGTTGCCTTATCAAGTAGGCCTTATTTTTCAAAATCCCCTTAAAAAATGCATTGGCTTTCACTTGACATTCGATGATCCAAACAAGCAAAAAATACACGGTACAGATGAAAGAAAGGTGGATGTTCAGTGGCGAATAAAGAGAGTGCAAGCTATGCAAAAACAGAGGAGGTGTTCATGCTTGAAGTTTCTCATCAAGTAGAAGGTTTGGCTTAAAGACATTGGTATGCGGGTGACTTACACGAGGTTTTGACCTAAAAGCCTATTCATGGTATATCGAAGACTTTTCATCGTAGTTTAGAAAGTTAGAAACTTTTATGTCACCTTTTTTTCCTATTCTTCTGTTTTTGTTTTGTCGATCTTGTTGTTGAAGTCGAATCCTCTCCAACAAGAGGGAAATTTATGCGGTCCATACACAACTTAAAAGAAAAAAAACTATAAACTGATAGAAGAGGAAAAACATAAACATGGAGTTCCAAAAAGGTGGTTTACCTTTTCATTTTAGTAAGATTTTCAGCAAGTAATGCGTCGATAGAATAGAAACATGCTTACTTGGATCAATAAGAAAACTCATTTTCTTGAATTGCTAGTTGGCCTCCACTACCTCTTGAGTAAATAGGTGGTCTTTCTTCTTTAAGGAAAGCTATTCCTTAAGAGACTACTCGTCTCGATAGTTCACTCTTGCTTCTTGTAGTTCTACCTTTCTAGAGTAAAGGCCCCGTAAAGATCATAAAAAGGCCTTGAGTCAGCTTTTCTCGATCGAGATTTTGGTCTCCTTTCTCTTTATATATAACATATACTAGAATATGGTTAGCTCTTTACTCGTTAGATGGGTTAGCTTTATGCACTTGTTCTTCCTCGGAGTAATTGGTTGTGGCGGGTTCATCTCTTTCTCTAAAGGTCTTTTCAAGTGCACAATCTTACAAGACTACAAGTCAAGTCTCAGCAAGGAAGATTTTGGACCCCAACGACAAAGGAACGAGCATTTTTGGGGACTAGCCCGCTTCCCATTACTCAATGAGAGAAATTCCTAGCACATAATTATGGGAGCCATTGAAAGGTGACTGAAACACCAGAAACGGCGACTACCCGAGCTAATGATAGAGGCAAGAACACTTTTCGGCCAAGTCTCATTAATTGATCATAACGATATCGTGGAAATGCTGCATGGACCCATATATATATAAAGAGAAAGAGAATCACCTTGATACTAAACAAGATCGAGCCCGGGATACTCTTGAAAATGGGAAGATCTAGGATAGGCGGCCAACCTCCTGGAGAGAGCAATGTGCATGGACCAGATGAGTAGGGATGCAACTCCGTGGACTGCTCGTTGGGCCTAATAGGTGGTGGTATCACACCCTTCTCAAAGAAACCGTACGTGACACTGTCGCCTCATATAACAACATCTCAGCATCAGGACCTACCCTTTCCTTTGACCAACGGGTCCTCAAACCAACCTGTCCTCCCTTTCTATTCCTCGATAAGCACTTTCTTTTCATTCATTGATTGATTCAAGGTAGTTGTAGCTTTCTTCCAAGTCCAAGCGCTAGCGGTAAAAGCTAGTTGCCATAAGCGAACTTCGGGACCAACTATTAAAATATTAGTAAAGGTGCCTTAGCCTATCTCTCGATAGAGAAAGGGGCCTTTTCTTGCTCGTTAGCGCTTTAGTTTGAAATAAGGACATTTAGGCTTGACTAAGAGTCTCGTTAGGGCGGCTTCTTGTTTAGTATTGCTTTGGCTTCGCCGTCTGTATCTTGTTGGCGCTAGAGATACGCAACTAAAAGAAAATGAATGAAGGAAGAAGGTATTAACATTAGAAAGACTACAAAGGCATTTCAAGCCGACTAACAAGACTAGGATTACAATACAAGTCATGAGCGATAGTGAAGCCAAGCCAAATCGAATTTTTTATGTCGAAAGCCCCAAAACTAGCTATTTTATTGCAGACTACTAAGACAAGCCTACTCAAAAAATCTCATAACACCTATTCGCATCACAACTAATAGAAAAAACCACTACCTCACTCAACGTCTAGTCTAGTAGTGGTTCAGATCTTGATCAGGTCCAAGCTTCCCAAGCTCTATGTTGTTGGGGAACTCTACTTCAGTGTGACCCCCTTCTTGATTTACTAAATTTGGGTCTTTGGAGTACTTTGAGATTATATTATGTGCCGAGGATTTGTGCTTGTGGGCTAGGGTAAATATAGCAGATCAGCGGATCTGGTGGTCGACAATCGTTTGGACTTGGTAAAGGTTGTCGCAGCACCTATAGTAGAACAGAAGATTGATTGCGATGCCCGTGGACCAATTTACGATATCTCCGTTGCTAACGTTCGTCAAGTAGGCCATGTGGATTGCCCAGGGTCTTCTTCGGCTAATGTTACCTCTCTTGGATTTTATGTCCTAAAACTCATAGTTTGTAAACAAAAACATATTCTATTTTCAATAAAGTTATTATTGATGTTTATTAAGTAAACATTGATATTGAATAAAGTGAATTTTACGATTATTAATTTAAATCAAATAAACTAAGAACACTCTGACTATAGTATGATTATTTGAACTATATGTAGAGACATAAGAGTGTTTCAAGTTCAAGTATATAGTCAAAATGATCTATAGTACAGGGATAAGGTTGAGTACCTTATCTTGGGGACACTATGGATGCGACCAACTTTTGACGAACGTCAAAATGATCTATTGTATATGATATAAACAATGTGATCACTAAATTGTACATGTGGAGACATGTGAGTGGGGGCGTCCTATGCAATACAGACCATGAAAAAAATCACTCTCACTTTATAATGTTGTTTAGTGTTGAGACTGATTGATTTTCGTTGGATGACCTAGGTAACTTGATCTTAATCCTGAGCTAACCATGAACTCCTATTTATTGAGAATTATCGTTAAATTTGCATGGGTGAGAGTGGCTTGAGTTCGCCAACTCAATAAGCCACCCATTCAGGGATAAGACTGGGTGAATAGCTAGGGACATAGGGTGCAAGATGGAATACACTCCTACCCACCTTTAGGGATAGTAGAGAGGTTGTTCCCTTAAGTACTGACTCTAGGCCTTGAACAAGGGGCCCCACCCTCTCATTGGTTTGAGAGGGATTCGGTTTACTGGTTGGACCACAAACCAATTGTTCATTAGAGGATCAATGGAACATAAGAAACAAGAAATAACTTCAGGGGTAAAACAGTAAATTGACCCCGCTCTAGTTATGAACAACTTGTGAAGGATTGACTTACTAATCATGGGTATATCAAATGGACAGAAATATATCTATAGTGAGGGGAGTGCAACTACTAGGCTATAGTGGAATGTCCTAGTCGTTAACGAATGTTGGTTAACAAGGTTAATGAGTTTAGCCGGTTAATCTCGGATCGTTGGAGCCCATGATCTGTAGGTCCATTAGGTCCCCCTACTAGCTCATATCAGACTAAACTTAGAATGGTGTGACAAGTGAGTTCGAAGTGTTCGAATTCAAATTAGGGAATATGCACTAAAATATATACGATATATTTAACTGCATTTTTTGTTTTATTTACGAATTAAACAAAAAGAGAGAATCAGAGATATTTAAATAAGATTTAAATATTTTAATCAATATGTGTTGGAATTGATTGAGATTGGCATTTGAATTAATGTTAAATATTAATTAAATTGTTTAATTAATCATTTAATATTACTTTAATTTGAAATTAATTGTTGAATTAAAACGGAGAAAATCAAAATGTTGACTTCACTTAATAAAAAAATTTATGTTTGAGTTAGTGGAATTTTGAGTGTCAATATTTGGTTTAATCAAACTTGCATGCTTGCCAAATAAACCCCAGAAATTTGAGTGAAATTTTGAGTGTAAAAAATTGTTTAACTCAAACTTGCATGTTTGCCACATAATCCTACACATTTGAGTGGAATTTTGAGTGTCAAAATTTTGTAATCTCAAATTTTATGAACATGCAAATATGACTCTATAAATAGAGTGATCGAGGTACATGAAAAGTTTCTTAAAAAAACCTTGATAAAAATCCTCACAAACTCTCTCTTCACATATACTAAATCCCTTCCAAGTTTAGTCACTCACCGGATTCCACAATCCAGCTCTAAGGCCAGAGAATAGTAGGGAAGACACCAGTGGTGGTTCGAAACCGGTTCGTGAGGAAAAAGAAATTTGAACTACAAAAGGTTAGTACTCAATTTGAACTACACTAGTGGTGGTTCTATAGTACTCCGTGCAGCTATTGTTGTTGTTCCTGCACAGCCTACCCAAAGGTTCAGGCCGAATTGTAGGAAGTGGGTGATACGTTTTTGTATTTCTATGAGAAGCTCTACGGCACCCACGATTCCCAGTAGTAAGTCCAGCATATCGCGCGTAACAAATCCTTATTAAGTAATGGGTTTTTAAGGGGACCAACTTACGGGCCAAGCGTCTCCCTGACTTGATAACTAGTCTTGCCTCCCCTCGCCCAGCTCTATCAGCAAACCTTTTCTTTTGTCCTTTCCGTGCTCTCGGGCTGGGCTCTCGAGTGTCCTGGGTCCGATCAGATCAACCAGCAACTGGTTTATAGAACAAGGAGTTAAGCAAGGGCCGATTTCTTATTACAACATTCTCGACCATAGAATTCGGCCTGAGAGGTCAACCCGGTGGCTTCTATAAGGAAGTCGACAAGGGCCGGGGGTTAACTGAAAGGCGTTTCAAGTCCCCCCTAAGCCAGGCGATGCTTATGTGTGGGGAGTGCCACAACGAAACAAGGGAATGAAAGGTCGTTTTGCGTTGGAAGCTCTTTACCCTCCCCAATGAGGGCTCTGTAGTCTTGGGGAGTGTTCAAGCTTGCTACTAAAGGCATTCCAAGAGTTGTAAGATTCATACTAAATGGTCTTAATTAACCATT